TGTACTTAAGTACAGTAACGAAGTACTTGTACTTCGTTACTTCCCACCACTGGATAAATCTTCACACATCCTGACGCAGACGCGTTCGAAAATGTCAAGAAACATTAGACGGCACAGGGGATCATAAATATGGACTCTTGCAGTCCCTTTTTAACCCCGTTCTTCACTGCTTCACCGCACTGCAGTCAAAGCATTAACCACTCAGGGGAGCAGTAACTCATCGGCTTCACTGTCTTTTTTTTTCTTCACTTCTGTTTTAAAAACCATAAGTCAAGCTCTAATTATTGCTGACATTTCTCTCTTCTCCTTTGGATTTCAAACATGGTTATTGCACTCATGTGTTTTTTTATTTCATTTGAATTTTCAGAAACCCTCCCTTTCAGTCTGTTGACATCAGAGCTTCTGCTAGTTAAGAGTCCGGTTTGCTGCTCCGTCTCACACAAGGAAGAAATTATAGACACATTTTGATTTTTAAAAACTTTACCAAGATTACAGTTACAGTTACAAAACTTCTTTGTGAAGTTGAAACATTTTATTCCATGAAGCAGCTATTAGCAGACATTTGCTTGCGTCACATGAGATTTAAGCGAAAGTTAAATTCTTTTAATGCAGCTCTGAAGAAATCTGAAGCAGTAAAAATGAAATAAGTCAGTCTAAGTTTACCACTATGGATCAATGAACACTTTTTATAATATTTATGCTTTTCCCCCCACTGTAGTCATTTAACAGAGTAGTAGAGAGTGGAGGCTCTGTTCTTTCTTTCGTAAATTAAATAGTTCTGAAAAGGATTCCCAAAGTGGGTCTCCCTTTGGATTTGCATTGTGGACTGAAAGTACTTCGTTTTTGCTCAGTTGCCCTTGCGTTCTCTTTTCTTCGACTGCACTCCTTTGCTTCTCGCTCTGCGAGCGGTACGATATTTTTTTTCGCCCCATTCCAGCAACTTCATTCTTCTCCCTGTATAATAGTGGATTCTCCATGGTGGATTTGTGTGTGGCTATTTCGGGGTTCTGCACTGGCTCCTGCATGTGCCGCTATAATCCAATTGTGATAGTGTTAATTTTTAAAGCTTTATTATTGAAATTGCTGAGACCTAATTTTCTGATCCTGTCACTGTTGAAGGCCGCCATAATCATCCAATTCAAGTTATTCCAGACCATTAAGTCACAAGCAGGGATTGGTCATGGCTGCTGAGGTGGGAGAAGGATAGAGGAGTGCGAGGATCTTTGTGTGCATTCTTGTTTGTTGTCATGCTGGCTATCTTTCTTTGCTTGGTTGTAACAAATCTCTATTTTTTTCTTTTTCCCCTTCTTTTAGTGTGCATGCTACTGTGAGTGACCTACAGGATACTTTCAGAAAGGCGTGCAATTGGCGCTGGACAACTTTTGTTGTGTTTATTTGTTTTTATTTTTTCAAATCAAAGTTCAGGGTCAGTTCTTTCAGGCTTTAAGTGCATTTAAACTTAAATGTAAAAAAAAAAAAAAAAAACTACTATGAATTATGTCGTTGCTTCTGCTACTGAATGTGTGTAGGTTGATGTGGAGTTATTGTATTTCAAATAGATTATCTTCTCTTTTGTGCCTAATCTGTGAATAGAAATGACGCCCACGCACACAGTCAGGCAGTGCCACATGTGGACAATAACACCCAGACTCACAAACACAAAACTTTTCCACCACTTGGTTGCCAGGAAACTTAGCCTGAGTCTTTAAGGGTGAGAGATAATAAAGAATTGTGTGTCCTGCCTCGGTCGGGGCTACAGGGGGCAGTTAGTTAACTGCCTGAGGGTGTCTGCATGCTGCAACCTGGGCTGTTGGAGTTGATTATCTCTCAGTCATTGCTTTCTAGCATAAATCTTAGTCAAGACAAAAAAAAAAAAAAAAAAAAAAACCTGTGCTGATTTTAGCAGATACTCCCTACGGATGAGGCCGTGACGTTCCATCCAAAGGTTTGCCTGAGATAGGAGAAAGTTGTGTTTTATAATCTGATAATGTGGAAATTTGGAATGATGAAATTGACCATTGTTGTGTGTTCAGATTGTTTTTCTTAAAGGGAGGTATTATGTATTATGTGTTGCTTTGACTCTTTCATGCATCTTTGAGGAATCCTTGAATCTCCTGTGGCAACTTTTCAGGGTTGCCTAAATGTTTGCATATACAATGCACCGCCTATTTATCCAAAACTCTTCCTCCAGCCGAGCTTCTGCCTCACAGAGCACTCTGTGCCTTCTCCACTCAGCTCCTCCAGACTAGCAGGAGCAGCAATTAGCAAACACCTGATGGTACTCGACTTCTGCTCAGCTTATCGTACAAATTACTTCTCAATCGAAAGCTCCTAAGAAGGGTTGTAAACAGCCAGGATCCACGAATGTGGCCTTGAATTGTAGGCTTCATTGTAATCAATCCAAACTGCACAGGTTTGTTTGTCAGCCTTTGCAGTCTTGGGTGACCGTTCTTACAACCTGAAGCTGGTGTTTGGCTCCTTTGGTATTTTTGATGAAGCCTTTTTGTGTCTCTGTCATGGATTCTTCCGTATGCCTGCTTATCAGCGCTATGATGCCTGACAGCAGCTCACAGGTTGTGGAAAGACAGGTTGTTGGGTATTTCTGGGAGTCTTTCATTATCAAGATGGTTTAACTCATAGTCAGCCAGTCTGGGAGAGACCCATCCTTCAGCATTTGGTTCAGTTTTGCCAGGCACTCATGGAAAGGTGTCAATTTCTTCAGCCAGTAGGGTGAAGAATTGTGTTTCATATCCTGGACTTTGTTCATGGAGATTATTATGGTACACAAGGTTTAATCATTCCATCTTGAAAAGAGAATTAATGCAATCTTCTCTCTGGAACTAAACTGGAAAAATGGCAACCCAGCTTGTACGAAGTGGATTCACACTCTGAGCCATTTGGATCTTTTTTAGATTATAACTGAAATTTTGTCCAATTTCAAACATCTTGAAAGATAGATCGCACAGTTCATATCAATCGTTGTTGTATAGAGATAATGCATGTTTAGTGCAGTTAGTGTGATCAGCTGTGACACTAAATATAGAACATTTACAATATTTCTTTCTTTTACTCCAAAACCAGGTTGGATGGATCATCAGCTGATTCATGCAAGGAGAGCTGCCCCCATGTGATTGAATCCAGACCGATATCCAGCAGCTGGCTCCAAAAGCAAGTCAGGGTGAAGTTGATTAAACGCCATCATGATTATAAACAAAAGAGGAGTGAAGATTATCACCAGATTATCACCATTCTTTTTATTTATTGCAGCTGCAGAAGCACATCTGTTGTATTCTGCTTGTTTACGGGGATGGAAACAAAGGATCAGATCAACATCAGATGGCACAGTAATGGCCTTGGCTTCACATTGATTTGTTATTTTATTTTATTTTATTTTTTTGCTTTCACTGCACACCATGTCATCTGAATCTTGGATCAGTTTGATGCCACATTCAATAAAATTTGCCACCAGAACGTTTGAAACTAAGAACTTTGCTGCTCTTTTAACTCTGTTGGATCCCTTCATTTTGTGCTGCATCTGTATTCTTTGGTCATGAAAACAATCATTTTTTTTTGGTGATTTTTTTCAAATTTCCTTACAGGAAACACAGTTCTGAGAAAAACATTACGCATCACTTTAAACACTTTTTCAATTCATGTCATTATTAACTTCACCATTTATTTTTTTTTCCCAGAAAAAGCAATTTTTCTCTCTCCACATATATTAGCAAATTAAATTAAATTAAAATGACATTAAAAATACGTTTGCACTGCAGGAAACGGTAAAACCATAGATTTTGAAGGAATTCCAACAAAGGGACTGAAAAAAAAAAAGAATTCAGAAATCCTTTTGAATGGAAGTCATTGCCACAAAAAATGATGCAGAAAACTGCTCTAGTTAGTTTAAAAAGATTTAACAAAAAATAAAGAAAACAAAATCGCATCTTCCCTAAAATACACAAAATGAAAACTTACAAAACTTTAATTAAAAAAAAATATGAAAAGAATAAAAGGATCCAGGAATATTAACTCAAAGTTGAAAAGAAAATGCGTCATGCCAAATTCATTTCATCTGCTGTTAAGTGAGTTCCTAATTATACTGTAGTGCAGACTTATTGAACAAATCTGTTAAATTGAAGCTTTAGTCTAATTTTTGTCTATGTGATGTCCTTCTGTTTGCTGTTAGCCGACACAATCAGAGGCTTGACTGATGTTCGCCACCTGCTGAGACCCGATTCGGAGACCTTTTCGCCCGTCTCCGAAAGCTATCCACCTGGGTGGGAATGAAAGACCTTTGCATGCTGTTCACCACCGGCCCATATGGATTAAGTGAAAGGACCCAATGAAAAAAAAAAAAGCCTGCTGCTGTGATCCTGCTTTACGACCATTATGACATGACAACCTGCTGTGAAATAGATTTCGAAGGTTACTAAGGGATTACTGAAGCTCGGGACATCCTGTTTTTGTCATGCAACACTCACAAAGGCTGCGATGTATTATTTGACCGGGCCTGACGCACACATACAACATAGGTTTTTAAGTCTCTGACCTTGTCTGCTGCTACGTTCAGGGGTGATTGATTGACAGGTCCGAGCGGTAACCATGGGAACAAAGACGGAGGTGGCGCAGCTTGAAGACAGGATGAACATTGAGGATTATAAAATAAATAAATAAAAAATTACAAAGCCTCTTCCTCGTAAGTCTGATTTAGCCTGTCAGTTTATTAAAAGCACCGGTTTACAGAAGGTTTCTCAAGAAATGCTGTACAGACAAGATAACAAATGCAATACATTTCATGATGCTGTTTATCTTCACTGCAGGACTCCTCCAGTGAAGCCCGCTCCTTGTCTAGAACCGAGTTCCTTGATCTCGCCTCGGTGGCAGCCGGACATGGATCCGGGGAGGAATATGACGCCGCTGTTGTCTTCCCAGCAGACTGTAAGGCTCCTGGGCAAAGATGGTGTGAAGGCATGTGGGCGTGTCAGCTGGAGAGGACTGAGCTCCTTTCTGCCGCTGAAGCTTTCTGATAAACTTAGGAACAACAGAGCAATTAGCGCTCCTCGCTGGAAGGCATCACACACCTTGACTTGTCCTCATCTAGAAGCCATTCAGAAGGTGAAAGGTCTCAGCATCTCATTAGAAGTGGAGTTTGTTACAATGACCTGAACATATGGTTCATTTTAAACTCATGGCCCACATATTATGGGGGGGGGGGAAACATTCAGTGAGTTTAAAATGTTAAACTCTGCTGACTGGGGGGAAATTCACATTATTAAACATTGCGGCAGGAAAGTATTAGAGTCTTGCTCATCAAAATGGCACACCTCTTTTCAGATAAATGGCTCCAGACTGCTTTTACATCTATCAATTAATATGCAAATAGTGGAGCCAGTATAAAGTGCCTACTGCTGTGGATAAAGTGAAGGCTCACCACTTTAATCTTTCAATCCGCAGGACGTCAAAATGTCAAAATGTTGTGTCAGTTGTTTTCCACATGCCTGGAAGGTTTTGAAACTCCAAAGAGGCAGGTTTTCATTCCAGACAAAATGTCTCTGACCTTTTCAGTGGAGATGTAGGGACATAGATGAATTAAAAATATTTTAAAACATGCACTAATCAAACCTAATGGCAAAATAAAACATTTTTTTTATTGCACTATTCTCAAGAAATTACACAGTGCTCTAGCAGAAAGGATTCTGCATCGATTTTAAAAATCGATACAGAATCTAAAAGGAAGGCACACTTTGGGGTAATGCTTTTTTTCTGCCGCTGTGGCTCCAGTAATGAGTCCAGCTGCTGCATTTGCTACTGGAAATAACAGTGAGAGTTCTCACTAACGTCTGCAACATGTGAAGACCAGTGGTGAAGGCAGAAGGAGTGTGCAGCTGTGGTCTACAGCTCACTGCTTAAAGAAATGATCTTGTTTTGAGATCATCAGCTGGAACAAACAAGAACAATAACATTTCTGACTTAAAGTTTCTAGCTGAGTGCATCCTTAATTACTGACAGTGAAAGTCATATTGCATACTAATGCAATGCAATAAAACATTAAAGAATTAATATAGGGGCCAGAACGAATAACTTGACTAATTCCCGTTAAATATAAGGACCTTTGGGGCCCTCCGGGTTGTCACACTGAGTGGTGTTGTGTGGAAAAGAAGTGACATCACTCTGACTCGACTAAACAGCAAAAGAAGCCGATTTATTGCCTTAGAGTCGACGGGTATATCATCGTAGACTTGAAATACACAATATTCTTTCCAGTTTTTACATGAGAGATTACTCAGTTTTGTTCGAGATGTTCCCAGCTTGAGACATGACACTGACACTTTCACATCTTTCCCATTTTATCCATTACCTGTTTACTATGAGTTTTAGTCTTTGCAATGCTGTTTGTTCACCAGTGTTCACCATAAAACCTCTAAGACCTTCACAGAATATTTCAATTTATACAGAAAATAAATTAAGCACACTTGAACTCTGTATATGTTTCTGTGAAACGTGAATGCTACTAATTGCATTGGGTTTTATTTAGAAGTGATAGGGGGCAGAATATAAATGCATAGAACATTTTCAGATAATGCATTTGTTAACAAAAAAGAATAAATTCATGCATTGTTTTCTTTCCACTTTATAACTATGCACTATGCTGTGTTATTATGTCCCATCAAAACATATCGACGTTTGTGGTTGCAACTTGACAAGTTGTGAAAAAGACCAAACTATAAATACATTTGCACTGACAGAACAAATTGATTTGAATTGTCGCGGTTTAATTAAATGCTGCTTTTGAGTAACAAATGGACATCTTAACTATTAAATTTTATTTTGCAGACCTAAGGTTTTCTCTTGCACCTCAGCCAGTAAAATCCTGCAACTCATTAATTCAGATTTGTTTTATCGACTGCAGCACTGAAAATGGGTGGCTCAGTTTCTTTTTCCTGGGCCCAGGAAGAGGAAGATTTAGAGAGGAGATCGTGCTTAATAGGCTTATTCAAGCATAGTTCTTTTGTAATTGAGGAGCTAGTGAGAGGAGAAGAACAGGATATACTAAATATTTAAAATTCAATTTTAAAAACCCACATTTTAACTAATTAAGTCCTTCTCTGGTTTAAAAAGACGCACGACTCTATTACAAGAGTCATGAGGGCTGCAGTTTTGTCACTGCGAGTTAAGAATAGTGTTTGCCTCGGCCGTGCTGTTGTTCAGCGATATCCGCTGGTCCCACCAGGTGTTGTGCATTCAGAGCTGAGGTCAGTACCTGAGTGTGAGCAAAGGAGGAACAGTGGTGCTGTGGGACAGAGAGGACATGTCCGTTCAACACATGCAGCGTCTGCAGAACACGGTCACACCCAAAGGCACTCCGGGTGACAGACGTGGTGCTCCAGCCGAGCACGCACAAGGTCATTCGATCCTGCTGTAAACATTACGTGTCAGTGCTGTAGTGCTCTGCAGCAGTGACACATTCCGGCTCAAAAAGCCAGTTCTTGTTCACGTCCACAGAGACGATTCAATGAATTATTAAAAGAGAAACAGTCAGAATTACTGGGGCAGATATTGTAATTTACAAAGGCAGACAAATACTTCAGTCAGGTGATTAATTATTGATTTGTGGTCTGTGTAACAGTGTTGCAGACAAGAAGCCGTTGCATAATGTTCAGAAAGTAAACATTCGTTTGTTGTAAGACCATCAATTATTTATTATTATTCCTAATTAGCAGCTCTTTAATCTACAGATTTGTTTACCGCTTGCTGTATTCAGTTTCATGGAGAAAATGTTTTCTGATTATTATTGATTATCAGCCTGTGAAATTGTGAAATCATAGTGATGTGCTCTCTCACTCCGTTCTTTGCGATCTCATTGCGATCAGGCCGTGGTGAGTATAGGACACATTGGGGGACAGGAAGAGGACTAAGACGACAGAGATCTGTAGGACACTGTCATGGCCTCCCATTTTCTTGCATGATCTGTTTATGTTCATTGTTATGTCATCTATCATGTACGCTTCCCTGTGTGTTACCCCAGGTCAACGTTTTGTATTTACATACCGTACTGTCACGACATACTGACAGCTTCAACAAATATGTAAAAAATAAAATAAATTTTTTTTATAAAAGTACATACAACAGCTTTAATTTACTAATGATGACAAACAGTGAGCACTCAACATGGTCTGTTACTGTAAATTTCTCTGTGGAGATACAGATTCAGCATATCATATTTTTGTGCATGTTCACATTCATCCCAAATCTCAAACAAAAAAGCCCCGCATTTATCAGAAAAGAATAATACTAAGAAAAAAAAAAAGAGACCTCTCAAAGGCAGTAGTAGTTCTGCCTACTAAAAACAACACTCTGGGTGTCAGGGATGCTTATGGCACACCTCACGCCTTTCACCTTCCTTGACACGTGGAATGAGCTACGGAGCAGCTTCAGTCGCTTACTGTATTCACATTGAGTCACCTTCTTCACAGGCACATTTTTCACTGTTGAAGTAAAGTTGCAGGCGTGAGGTTTGGCCCGCTGAGATTACCCCCTTCAGCTCGGGGTGTGCAGCAAAGAGGATGCTCAGTTTTATCTCAATTGCATCATTGGAATAAAGCTTCTCTGAAGAGTAATTGGGCTGTTTGATAATGATCCAGCCGAGGTTTTGTTTTGAGACCGGCTTGGCTCAAATCTCGATAAAATGGAAAAAAATAAATAAATAGTGTGCATATACTGTAGATAGAACACAGCAAATTGGGAGACAAAGGGGTAACAAATGGAAGGGAAAACCAAGGAGACAAAACAAAGTCTAGGCTGAATGTAATCTCACAGATTGTGTGTGCATGTGCAACGGCAAAGGGTATTTTTTTGTGTGTGTGTGTGTGTGTGTGTGTGTGTGTCTGTGTGTGGCGTTTGGAGAGTAAGTACAAAAAACTAGGTGCCAGTGAGAGTGTATGTGTGCTACCATACCTCTGGGGTGCTGGTGCTATTCTTTTGAAGTTTCTGCCCTTCAGTATGAGTGGGCTGTGTACCATTAGACATGGCTGGTTATCCAGACTTCCAAACCTTGGGGCTCCCAGGACACAAGAGCAAGGAAGGGAGAAATGGAGAGGCTGATGGAATCTGGGGGAAAATGAGAGGAAATTAGAAGGGAATTGGGATGGACACAAGGCTGCAAGGACAAAGGAGGAGAGCTGCAGGAAGTAGTCATGTGTGTATGCCTGTGTGTGTTTGTGTGATCCAACCAAATAGTCTTAAATGAACAGTAAAGACGAGCATCTAGGTAGGGATGCAAAACCAAAAGGACTCTCTTTGATGTAGATATCTGGTTCAGCTCCAATGTCAACTGAACTTAGCAGCTAAAGTGTGGGATTAGTCGCAATAGTGACTAAAGAAGGCAAATGTTATTAACCAGTCTCTGTATTTCAGTTTGATTTGTTAATGTAAGTAAAGCAGAAAGTAAGTCTCATCATGTCTCTGATCTTTTGATGTACATGAGTGAGAAAAGTCCAGATGTATGAAGTCTAATCAGAGATAATTATTTGCCCCAGCTATGCGGCTGATCTTTGACATGAGACTGTCACATGTCGTCTCACAAGCAGCCCTTTTTTTCCCCCCCACCCTCTTTGAAAGCTTAGCAGCTTCTGATAGAGACACGCTGGCATCCAATTTAACTCTTCTCAATCAACATGTTAATTGAGATAGATGGTGATGCGAGATCCATTACATTTTTTGTAATGGCAGTGAGCAAATGAAAGCTGCCTCATTCTATGCTGTGCTGAGCGCCTGCAAATTGGTTCGTTTTTGCCCTACACCAGGGCTGCGGTCATTGAACATTGAAAACACCTCTTCCATAAAGTGGCTGGCCCTCCTTCCTTTTGTTTTTTTTTTAAATCAGGTGAAAGGTGTCTATTGAAGACATCAAAGAAAATTGAGCAGAGTTCATTTACATTCGACTGGTTAAAGCTGAAACCAGTCTAGCATTTCCTTGTTTCCTCGGCTATTGTCTCACAATGAGTTTATAAATAAAATTGAAATGTGATCTTGATAATAAATGCATGGATTCTGTGTTTTCATAGTTTTTCCTCTATCACTTCAGAGACCATATTTCACACCAATAAAACTGAAACACGCTAAAATCAACCTTAGAGAAAAAGCATCACAATTCAACAACTGTGTATTAAGGAGTCTGTATAAATAGATTTACCCAGTTCAGGTATGGCAAGGGCACACAGTAGCATTTTTTAATGATTGATATCAGAGTTCTTTTCCTAAAAACCGAGGACAGAATTTGGAGAAAGTTTATAAGGGTTGGCGAAATACTTTAATAGCATATAAACATGATAAACTGAAGCAGTAGAAAAACAAAACACATTTGTATGCAAGAAAAATTACAATTTCAAAACAATATTTTTTTGAGGTAGATACAAAAATAAAAAATCAAGAGGGAATCTGAAACTAAAGTATCTCACCACACTAGTATTGATCCAACACTGATACTGACTTAATATCAACAGCATTGATATTTTGGGTCGGTCAGACCACCTCGAGGCTTTCTGTCGTTTTCTTTTGTACATTAAAATTCGCTCCTATATGAAAATATGAGGAGATGTGGGTTATACGCAGTCAATAGTCTGAGATTAAGGACAAACACCCAACAATCAAAGTAACTCACAAAGCATTAGATCAAAGGAACTAGTTTAGCAATCAAGCCACAGTAGTTGAAAGCTCAGACAGAAATAATTCCTCTCTGAAAGGTAAATGAAAGTCTCTGCACAACAGCGGTTTTCAACCCTAATCCACCGTTTTGGTTGTGTCTCTGCCCCAGCAGACCTGATTCAAATAATACCATTACTTACTGCAAGGTGCTACAGAAATAGCCTGTCAATCATCCATTTGTTTGAAACAGGTGTCTGAAAACAGTGTCTAAAAAGGCCTAAATTAATGTGTCAGTGGGATATTTTTTACATGTACATTAGCATGTTAATGCTATGAAGTATTTCAAAGAAGTAAAAGGAAACCTCTTAGCATAAATCCAGTTTATACGGCCCATTTGATGTATATCCTGTAGACTACCAATTATTTCAGACTTAATCTGTCTTATACATGCCCTATCTTGCTACGTGTTACAAAAGATTTTCTTGTTACACCAGTCTAGGTCCTATTTTTATCGCTGACTGTGGCCTGCAGTGTGCTCCTTGGCCTTGCTTGAAGCCTTTGTATCCTGCAGCACCAAGACCAAACAGCAGCTTGGTGATTGGCTGGAAGGAAAAGGATGGCAGGGGTCTGCGAGTCATTTCCTTTGCAACAAAGAGTGATGTGTGGGACGTGGGTTATGGAGTTGTTCCGACAGGTGGGAGGAAAAATGTATCCCAGACATTAAGACGTATATACTTCCTAACAAATATGCAGTATTTATACAAGTTTAACTTTTCACTTTTTTTTTTTTAACTTAGAAAACATAAACGTCAGAGTATTTTATTGAGATTTTCTGTTACAGATGAATACATGGTTGCATATAATCACAAAAGGTTAAGAAAATGACATGAATGTTGCATTTTTACAAAAACAACTTTTAAAATTAAATCTAAATAAAATTTGGTGCAAGCAATCACCTTCAAAAATCAATATTAAAAATGCAGCTGTTTTGTGAAAGTCTCAAAGGGTTTTAAGAGAATGTCAATGAAACAAACAGCATAACGCTGCCTATGTTAAAAAGGAGTTTGACAAGAAATACAATCCGACATGGCACTGCATCGTTGGCAGGAACTTTGGCAGCTATGTGACGCACGAAACTAAACATTTCATTTACAAGAAACAGGCTGGGAAGAAAGTCATGGTTTAAAGCTGTGTTGAGTTGTAAGCAGTAATCCAAGCTTCTCTGAAAATGGCACGACTGCAAACCATAGTTGGAGATGGTGGTCCAACTATGGTGACTCTAGTTCAGGGAAAACTAGAATCAAAGAAGCAGCTAAAAGTCCCATGGAAACTCTGGAGGATCTACTTAGATACCCAAATCCTCTGAGAGAATCTGTTGCATGGCCTTCATGCATGAGTGACAAGAAGAAGGCTGGTGTTGAAAAAAAAAAAAACAATGAAAAACAGTGTGTGACAAGTCATGTAAAATATGCAAAGGAAGGTGCCTGATCAGCTCAAACCCAAATTTACTTTCTTGCTTACTTTCTAATTGCTGTGTTTCGGAGAGTTACCGCTGAACATCACCCTGAACTCAACCCCACGTAAATAGTGGTGGTGGCAGTATTATCATACGTAAATACAGAGGAATATTTAAGGAAAACCTGTTAGATTCTTCAAAAACTTGAGAATAGGGTACCTACCAGTAGAACAGAGGGCCTAACCATGGACCAAGAGCTACAATGGTACGGTGTAGAAGAAAGGACATGTATGTGTGAGAATGTCCCAGTAACATTGCAGGTCTAACTCTAACTGAGAAACTGATGCTGTGAGGATGTGGATTTCTGTGTCTGCCCCTGTGTCTGCATGTCTTGCCCTTCATTGTTCCCAGCTGTGTCTTGTTCCCTTGATTATCTCCTCTTGTATTTATACTCACCTGTGTCTGTGTTTCCCCGTCGGATCCTTGTCTTAGCTGTCGTGCCGTTGTCTCGTCAGGTTTTTCCAGTTGCTACCAGTGTTGAGCAACTGGTAGCCTTTTGCTGACCTGTGCTGCCTGTACTTTTGTACTCACTTGAGATTTTCATTAAATCTTCAAACTCAAGTTGCTGCCTCTACCTCTCTGCGTTTGGGTCCACACCACAACTACCATAAATTGTGACAGATGCACAACTTCAGAATTACAATTGAAAGTTGGAGACATACCCCAGAAGGCATACGTGTCACACACTTTATTAAGCCTATTTCATAAAAATCCCCAAAGCATGCATTAAAGTTTCCGTGTATAATATAACAGGATGTGAAAAGGTTCAGGGGATATGATTGCTAGACGTTATATCTGGATCAAACCAGCGAAAAATTGTTCTGCGGAATGTATTTTGAGTGACGTCCAGATTAGCTGTTAAAGCACCAGCTGTACTGCTGTCATAATATTTTTGTCATGTATTGGCTTCATAAATCATGTATTTCCCATGGATCTGACCTTTTGTTTTCTTCCAGCGCTTAAGGGTGAGAGTAAGAGGTAATTTTGCTGAAGGACTTTTAAACTCCACAGGGTTATTTTAGCTCATTTCTTAAGTATATTTACTCCCAGTGATAATTTGATGTTCTCTGCTAACAATTAAGCAAAAAGGAACAGATCCAGAGGTAAAACTCAAAGTTAAAAATTTCTAAATGGTATTTTGCCTTTAAAAGTGTCATAATTGTTTCCCTTTCTTAGCACCTGGTTGTCACCATAGTTCTCAATCAATCTAAATCAAATGTACAAAGCTGTCAAATGCCTCATTGAGTACTAAATTGTTTTTTTATGAGAAGGGAGGATGGGAGAGGTAATTTTCTTGTTATTTCCTGGTATTGGTGGCAGGTGTAGCAGGTGTGGATCATCGTGTCTTACTGCGTAACCTCTGTGTGACCTCTAAGCCAGACAGTGTGCTTATCGGCCAGTCAAGCCCTGTCACTGCAATTAATTTCATACAAAACAAACAACAGCTGGTCAGCGCCAAAAGCAAGGAAGTGAGTCATTTAAAGATGAGCAACCCTGGATTTCCAATCCTGAATATTAGCTTATTCAGAGGAGCTTCTGGATTTCTCAGTCCTGCCAAAGAAGGGAACAGAAGTTTCTCTGAGCTCAGATGTTTCCTTTAAATCGTTGTCCTGACTGATGTGGGGATGATGTTGGTGCCTGTGCTTTCCCTCCTCTTGCTGTAGTAGCAGTCTGCATGCTTCCCTACTCTTTGGTTTCTCTGAAGAGAATGAATATTTTAGAGGTGATTTATGCTCCATCTGCCCTTTCCTCAAACACCAACTGCCAAAGCAAGAAACCGAAGGCTTTACCTCGAATTTATGAGGAAAAATTCATGAAACAGCAGCAGTTGTCTTGTTTTGCACAATAAAGAAATATGGCAAACAGAGTTCCTCTGACTAACATTTAGCATAGTAGGCAGCTGAAAACATAACTCTTAATGGCCATGACTGCATAGATGTGTGAATTATGTTATTGATACTGAAACTGTTGTGGTGCCAAATGATTTTTAATTGGACCATAAAACTTGACTACATTTCAAACTTTTGTGCTCACACCAATAAAAACAGAGACATGAAATTCCTTTAACATTATGCTTATGGGATGTGTCTAGTCGGTATGTTCATCATCATCACTGGTGTTTTCCCTGACATGCACGCGAACACACACATACACGCACTCAGGTTTCTATAAGAGGAGCCAAAGCAACTTCTGTTTATATTCAACAACCAGCTTCTCCTCCTGGAGACAAAGGAGGAGGACAAACACCTTATGCATGTGCTCTGCAACAGTCGGTTTAACCTGGTGTGTTAATAAAATGATTCTGCCTTTCATTTGCTTTTAAACGGGACAAATTTTAATTACGCTAAACTATGAATACAGTTCTCACACAAAAGCCTTGAGAAAACAGATTTGTTGAAATTTCAGCTTTTAAAGACAAATATTGAAAAATTCATCATCTTATATGCTTAGTTTTTTTGTGTTCTATTGACACAATTTCCAGTAAGTGAATCAATGTAAATGTGATCTTTTTTACTTGTTTTTTGTTCCCTCCAAGCAGCAGAAGTATCTAGTATAGTAGAAAAAAATTAGCAAACTCCTTCAAAGAAACTGTAATTAGTGTAGAATACTGTAGTTCAGATTTGACAAGTCTGCTTAATATATATATTTTTTGTTTTACTTTTATCCATAATGCTCCAGATACAGTAGAGTTTACCTGGACTAAAAATACAGGGGTGTTTTAACATAAAAATCGTGTTGCAGCTCTATAAGCCATGCAGGCCAATAACAACAGATGTGGGTTCAAACAGTTCTGTGACATGTGCAGCAACAGTTTTTAAGCAATAGTACGTTATCAAAGAATAGCATGGTTTTAAAGTGACATTTTCAAACCCAATAAAAATGTTCCATCATACTGTTCCCACAGTTTAAAACCATTTTCATGAGATGTCAAGTGCAGTTTTCTATGCACTTGACATCTGTTTGGATCAGTGACAAACACGTCACTAAGCTCTTTTTTTTATTACAATTATTATTGTTATTATAGTTTGCAAGTTGTAACAGCAGGCCTACTAAGTAGCTGTCTTTAATCACTGCAAAGCAAGCAGACCAACTAATTAACCATTTAACATTAACTTATCAGGCTTCAATTACTCTACTATTCTAGAGCAGAATGACAAATAGGTGATATTCTGCCAGGCTGGCATGAAAATACTACTGTATATAGAATAGGTTTTATTGTATTCCATCTCCATAGTTATTTTTCTTATGTTTCAGTCAGCCACAGAAAATAATTAAATCAATTTAGATATCAATATTTATTTTAGGACCAATTAAATCAAGCATTTTTCCTTTGAATTTTTTGTGCAACTGCCATGAAACATTACTATTTATACAATGCAATCATGGCACGAGATCTGATTAGGACTCATACCTGAAAACAAACAAAAATGCAAATAGCTTGTTACAGCAACTTTTATTACACTTAATAGTAAACACATTGGATCGTGAGATTGAGGTTTGTTATCAACGTCAATCTTTTCAAATCCCACTTACAATTTTTCTGACTTTTCTATTTCTGTATTTCCAGCATCCAAGATCAAATAACATGCAACGCAACACTCACTGTTTTTACATTTGTTTACCCAGTCCTTCATTAATAATGTACAGCGCTTCCTGTTTATATTTGGAAGTGCTGATGACACAGAATCATCAGAATGTCTGTTTTAAAGCACACATGTGTAAGAGGAACAATATATTGTCTGAAGTTAAATCAGACCAAACTTTTCTATTCTATTTGCTAAATGCCAAGCAACTTAGTGACAACAATTTTTTTGTTTCATTTTTTAAGCTTCCTCAAATTCAGAAGTTTACATACATTTATTTGGGATAACTGTGTTTTAGACATCATGACATTGGTCAAACTAAAGCTTTCTGGCATTTAGATGTAGAAATCATTTGAGTAATTCTAACTAAGCTGAAACAAGAAAAGTTTAGTCAGATTTAACTTCAGACAGTGAGAAAAATATATTTTTATTCAGTGTATGTAAATATGGTGCACCATATTGCCACCACATTATTTTGGTTGTTTTATAATTTTGAAATATTTTCATGCATAATTTATTCTATTTTTAAACAAAAATGAACAATTTATATAAAAGTTTTGCTGACTTATATTTTATTATCTTTCAGGTCAGTACACGGTGAAAACACACCAAAACTACTCTGTAAGATGTTTACCTCTTAGTTGACCAGTATATAGCACTGTGTTGCGGTTTCTGTGCACTGTTTTGCCAGTAGTTGCCAGTTTTATCCCATGAGGGTAAAGTTGGCAGTATGCTAGCCCGCGCTGGGAAAGTCCCGCGAGGGAAGGTGATTAGAAGGCCGTGATATCTTACCAACTCCGGGTTTTAGGAGTTTTATTTTGCTTTTGTTTGAATAATATTCAGTTTAAGTTACTTGTTGACTCAAAGTAGCTCAGAGCATGAGAGTAAAGTGAGTCCAGCCACAGTTAAAAGAAGATAAACTATTCTTTGTTCATAAAGTGTAAGAATTGAGGTTAAAGTTGAAACAATGTTAAGTTAAATTCTGTATTTGTTTTGTAAGATACACATACCATGGTTGTCTTCATCTAAGTGAAGGATGGAAGTGTGAAAAGGGTAATGTGCGAACTTATATACTTGTGAGAATAGTACACCAAGTTTGTGAAACAACTATAATGCAAAACATTAATACTGTACACTGAAAAAAGGTTGTTTGTAAACACATAAAAAAAAACAAAAAAAAACGCAATCTGGATGCTAACGGCAGCGCTTCGGTCGTCATTGCTGACTTCTGTTTTATTATCCTTCAGATTGTGGTCATCATTGTTATAGCAATCCTGTCACTCGGGACCTGTAACATAAATATCTGGTTTCAACTGTAAATGTGATTTTTGTTCTAGTTTTCATTTCCCTTCAGCAGCAGGATTTGTTAGTATAATTAGCACTAGTAAGGTCTTTAATCTTACATGAATGAGATAAAACTCTTGATGTTTGATGCCAAGCCGCTCTTTGCAGGTAGTCAGCTGTGACTCTGTCTCCTCTGTGATCTGCTGGCAGGCTGGCACAGGCCAAAAAGTCTAACAGTTCAGCCGTTGCCATGACAATGCAGAGCTCTCCACCATGAGCTTGGACAGTACACAAACCCAGCTGTTTACTGCAGGCACTGATAGACAGGTCAGAGTAGGTGAACTCTCACCCACACACACATACACACACTGCTTGTGAAGCAAAGCAGAAAACACAAATATGAATTGATAAAAGGGGGAAAAATTATTTATAGCTATGGCAAAGAATATTTTTTTTTACTTTTTCTCTTCATGATTATGACAGTGGGCTGCATGGTGGTTTAGTTACTGGCACTGTGGACCTGACAGAAAAAAGCTGCTGGGTTTGAATATTGGCCTGGGTTCTTTCTGCATGGAGTTTGCATGTACAGCCTGTGCTTGGGTGGGTTCTCTGGCTTTCTCCCACAGTCCAAAAATATGACAGGTGAACTGATTACTCTAAATTGCTCTTAGGCATGAGAGAGTGTGTGTGTGTTCATGGTTGTTTGTCAAGGTTAGGTTATGGCCTGGAGGCCAGACCAGGGAGTCTCTTGTCCTACGACCTTTGGATGTAGGCACCGTGATCCTGCAATGACAATTGGGGAAGTTTTGCTTATTGAATGAAACATGGCACTGGCCGTAAACAAACAAACAAAGCAAAAATAAATGAATAAAACATATAATCTCCATCAAGACACAATTAAGAGCAGACCATGCTAAGAGAAAATAAAAAACAATACCCTCTGCAGCTCATGGCTTCTGGGCATGCAACCCATTAATGCACAAGGGCTTTCCAGATTCTGAAGATAAAATAAAATACAGAATCAATTTAAGCATGTTGTGGTAAAAGAAATGGGTCCGTTCCAACCTGCTGATTATAAAAAGAAAGTTTTAAGACCTTTTGTTCACTTGTTTAATAAACTGATCACTGTCTGTTTAAAGATCTGTTTCTTCAATTCAATTGAGTACTACAAATAGTCTCAAACGTGATAGCTCAGACAATGGAATTCATACAATTCACTCTTGCTAATTTTATTTAAGTAGGTAGTAAAAATAATTTTATATAAAAGTAGGTAGTAAAAGGTGTAGGGTGATTTGTGACAGTGGGCTGTGTGAAGTAATTTTGCAGCATAAATCTTGACAGGGGCTGGGAAGCAATACATTCTACCCGACAGTATTGAGGCAGTAAAGAGTGGCTGCTTTTGATCAGCAAAAACACTCCTGGCTTTTTATAAGAGATGTCTGTCTATAGAGGTGTTTTACGTTGATGGGGCTAATGTATCTTCTATTGGACTTTTGTGTGAACATGTGATTCCTTTGTGCAAAAATTAGGTTTTGCAAATCATTTTTGTTCTTTGCATCTTCAATTTGTTTGGTATAAATGACAAGCACTCTTGTTTTACAAATTGCAGCTCTGCATAATGACTCCAGCCTTAACAAATAAATAGAATAATTATGCATTTTGTAATTAATCAATATAATCAACCACATCAGCTCTGACCCCATGAGCTCTTGTAAGAGCACCGACGTGTGCATTGAGCACATGTGCGTGCGGCGTCAGATACACTCACGCTGCCATTTGAAACAGCTCCTTATGTCATTGTCTGCGAAAGAGCTGGCACCCCTTGGGCCAATTAGCAACAAAAAGCATCTTCTCTCCAATTTTCATCAACACCGAGCCCATGGCGTAGCTGTTAATGCAAGTCAGAATTTAAAATTCTGACCTTTTAATTACAGTGTTCCCATTGAGCCAATCAGTGTTCCTTTGTCAAATGCCATAAACATGGGCACAAACTGCGTCATCATGCAAAGTTGTTGCAAGACAGTGAGAGACACCAACTGAGCTTTCACCCTGGATTAATACACTGAGAAATGATTTCACAAAACTTTCATCTATTTCCATCACTCATTAAAAATCTGAGCAGCTGTTTCCTTCAACTGTAAATCAGAGATGAAATATACTGTAGTATGAGGTTGAACTGCAGTCATCAAGGCAATGAAAAGACATTCCTTTTTTTGTTTTTAACAATATAGAAACTTTGTTTTTGATAGACTGTACAACTTACAATTTTACATATTTTTCAAAATTAAGAATAAGTTAATTTGTTTGAATGTGGTGTGGATAATTCCAGTCCACACAGGTAGAAATATATGCATATACACTAATATTTGATTTAATGTTCTATTCTGAGTTCAGAAGAAACATGAGAAACAGACATTTTTCGCCATCGACGAGGTCTGAAAAAATACTTTGTCACTCTTTTTATCAGATATGGTCGAGTTTATTTTAAACTGCGGTATGTAACTTTTATAATAAACATGTTTTTCCACATATTGTTAAAGCTGTTGCCATGCAATGGCAGTATATGTGAAAAAAATTGAGCTCCTCTGCCTTCTCTCTAAGGTCAGATGGTATTTTTCCCAAGTGGAAAAACACCAGATGTATTTTCCCATCTGTTAAAATACACGGCTTGGTCAGTGGTGTATTTTTGGAGGACAATGTAAGTGCTGTCAATCACATTTGTGTACGTGCTGTTCACACCCTCGCCCTTGCACTCTACACTACAGCTTCTTCCTGATGGCTCTTGTGAATGCTCAGACTAACTAGCATAGACACTGGTGATGGCAGAAAAACAGATTTCCCGTAACAGTAAGTTGTTGCTCTGCCATTAGCACACTGGGCAGCACATCTACAGCAACTCTTTGAAGATCCTTGAATAATATGAGCTACAACTTTTAACTTTTGATTTTAGCCCAAGACTGCCAATAATAACCATGCGAGTTTGTGGTGTCATGCTTATCGGCTAATTTGCTGTGAATGATACTGTAGAACTGGGTGAGATGTTGTTAAGGAAGGAGTACCTCCAAATTCTTCAACTAAAATAAACAACTGCACTCTAAAAACAATATTTGTTCTCTAGTTGATATTGGGGACTTATTTATATTCAGCTCACTTAATTAATTTGGTTTGTTGATGACAACTTACGTTTATGTATTCCATTCATTTACAAATCTCCTTTTCATCTGAAGTGAACTTGTTACTTTTTGTCTAAGTAAAACAATTAGGTTTAGTGCAGCTTTGATATCATACATCTGACATCATGGGCTAAACTTGACATTCAAGGATCTCACGGTACCAACCAAAGTTCAAATGCCTGTAAACATCTGACCTACACTATAAGCACAAGTGTTGATAATGAAGCTCTTATTATTACAAGTTACTTATTGTATGCAAATTACCCAGAAAACAATATGCTAACATGTTGGCAGATGTTCTTTTTTGCAAACTGGTTCTGAATTTTGGCTCGTTTGGTTGTGACTGGGCTTTAAGCTACTGATCTGTCATGCAGTGACCGTTGGGACTTCAGTGGCCACTGCTTTCACAGAATCAATGCCGGGCTGGATCAAACTGTGAACATCACGCAGGTCTTGTTGCTGAGGAGGAAACTATTGGCAATGGGGTGGAGAAGGTACAGCAGCTATGTATATAGCTGTGGGTTTTTTTTTGTATTGAAAGATAGAACATAAACACAGTCTTTATGGTCCTCGAAATCTGTGTTTTCCAATGACCTTGCAGTCGAAACTATACGTAAAAAGTTAGCACATTAGGAGGAGTTTAATGGTGCAGGCATTGAAAAGGCAACCAGGTTAGAGTGTGTATTATTTTTAGTGGTAGCCTTTCAGTGATTGTCCTCACAGAGATAGAATAACAAAGGAGTGTGTGTGTGTTTCTGTCTGTCCTTTCCTGCTGTGTCTGCCTGCCAACAACTCAGAGCCAACCAGACATCTGGACCCTAACAAGTCAGAACGCTCCGGGGCTCTCACATTCACTTTACTATCGCTGCTACGGATTTGAGAGGATGTGTGTGCACACTTCCTTTGTATACCCACATCACATCTGCTCTTCATCATCATCATCATTTCACACCCAGTGAGCTGGACTCAGCGGTGCGCTATCATCAAGTTATACGACTTTCACTCTTTCTGTCTCTCTCTCCCGCCTCCACACATGCACATGCTAGCGCACACACCGCTGTATTTCCATGTCTTCAGAGGACATCGCAATGACTTACAGTGGGTTCGTTTTATGGAACGCACATGCCCATTCCCAACTTTAACCTTAACCAAAATGTTTACTGTAACCTCAAAAGATGCCTTTACCGTTATTTGAACTTGCCTGTCTCAAGAGGAAGCCAAATTCCTAGTAACATGATTGCGTAAACAAATTTAGGCCCCCGCATCATGAGTAATCTGCACCCCCCCTTTACTCCCTCACTTGCAATTACATGCTCTCAGGGGTGTCACAGTGGTAAAAAGAGCAGAGGCGACAGATCAGCAGCAGTAAAAGAAAATAGTGTCATTATGACTTTCATCACTCATTTAATTTTCTGCTACTTCACATAAACCTGGCTCCCAGTTGGAGCCACGCAGCCGTGTCCTGCATGGCATCTGATTTAAACTCCCTCTGCCCGTTGCTGCCCAAAAAGATCTCCTGTAGGTTGAAATATCCGCATCTCACAGGCAGATTCTCTTCACAGTTTGAAGGAACAGTGCATCATCTTTTTTTTTTTTTTTTTTTTTTTAATCTACCCCTTAAATACTCCAGGGGGAGGAGAGCGTTGATGGAAAAAAAGCATAAGTAAAGAAAGAAAAAGGAAAAAAAAAAGATCTTTGCAGGTGCAGTGAATGGCCTCCAGAGAAGGTGAAAATTAAAGTGTTGCATATGCATAACCCCTCATCTCACAGTCATTTGTAGTAAAGAGGGAGCACTTTTGCTCATTACAACGTCTTCCCATCACAAAGAAAATGGTAAACATGGTGCAGAGAAAAGGAACGCACACAAATACGACATGATCTTTATTCAACTAAACCGCATTAAGGAATAAGGAAATATAACCTAATTCCTTCAAGGTTATATTTCCATCAGTATTTTTTTTTTTTACCAGCACCATTACTGCTGCTTGTCTTTTATGTTTTTGTGTTTTTATGATGCAAAGCACTTTGAACTGCCTTGTTGTTGAAATGTGCTATTCAGATAAACTTGATTGATTGACTGACTGATATTGGTGTTATAACTAACCCATTTACAGCAGCTCCTAGTGCTCCTATCCAACACATTGTTTATTTTTTTTTAAATTCTTATTCATGGAAAGAGATCTGCTACTAATTCAATCAATTAATCAATGTTTATTTGTAGAGAACCCTTCATAGTAAAAGTAGCTCAGAGTGCCGTACAGATTTATAAACAATAAATGCACAAACAATAACCTGCATCATTTACCACGACTGCTAAGCATGACTGTAAATTTTGGTAATAAAAAAAAGAAGTGTTGTATTTTATGATTGGGACATATTGTTGGAGTTTCCTTCCACCGTCTTCTCTTCTTTGTGTTTATCTCTACAGGATGTTAACAGATTTTCCTCTAATGCCTCAGCATTAGAGGAAAATCTAATAGAAAATCTAGTGGACATCCTCTAGACGTCCACTAGACGTCCTCTGAGTGGACGTCTGGTGTTCATCAACTGTGTTTCAGTCTGCATTCATTCTCGTCACAGGTGAGTGCTTTTGTGGTCATTAATTCTTTACCTCAAAAAGTAGCTTTATAAACTTGTCTTGTGTTTTTGTATTTTCCACTTGCATTCAAACCAAAGTGTGCAGCGATTCATAACCAAACCTGCACAAGCTTACATTTTCATGTTCCTTTTTTTTTTTTCTTTTGCTGCTTAGAAGAAAAGGGAGCAGAATGCTAGCTCAGAATAAGAGAGATGCATAGAATGAGACAAATAAACAAAGGCAAGGAATTAAAGGGAATTTTTAAAAAGAAACTTCAGTGAGATGAAAAAATAACTTGGAGCAGTTATCTGCTGATTATACCAAGTGGTGTTGTTATCAAAGGAAACCGAGCACCGCACTTTTCTCTCAGCTTGAAATAGCTCTGTGTTTTGAGTATCTGCCTACACATGTAGGCAGAAAGGGAAGAAATATTTTTTCAGAAGCCACGTTTGAAAGAATATCTTCTTGCAAGCTCACTATACACCCCTAAAATTGTGTCTTAAACATATGTGAAACATTTAGATATCCATGACCAGCAACATAAAAATCAGTCTCCAAAAAAATACTCTATTAATTAATGAGACATTAAGTCTCATTTCTGGTTTTACTTACCGAAAACTGTCATCAAGTTGAGTTATTTTCAGCTTTTTCATTCAAAATCAAATATACAAACAAACAATGTTTGTCTATATTGTATTTTTTGATAAGAACTCTGTCAAATAAATAAATAAATAAATGTCCCATTGAAACAAACAAATAAATATTTAAAAAATACAAGTATTTGTGTTCTTTAGATTACCACAGACAAGAAAACATGCCAACTAACAAAGGTAGATGTGCATTGACCTTCGTAGGTCAGGATGTAATTTGAAGAGTATTTTTATCCCAACTTGCTCATATCAATATAGCAAGAATTAAAAGTGGTGAAAACAACTGAGCAGTAACAGTTTATTTTGCTAATAGAGTGGGTATGAAAAAAATAAAATAAAATTGCAACTGTTAGCGAACTGCAGCAAATGTCTCAGTGTCAGACATGCTTCTGCAAAGAAAGAGGAGTTTCATTTGAAGTCCTTTTGCAACTCTTTATGAGGGGAGGCAGTAATTTTGGGGGACATTATGGTTAACAAGAACAAGAAATCGATGTGAACCTCTGCATGTTCTCTTTGTACCAGAAGTCTTACATGGGATATACAAAAGACCTAATAGAATTATAATACAGACAAAAGTATCACGTGTCACAATCACAAAGATCAGGCGACTGATAAGTATGAAATGGAAATGCTTGACACTTTTTTTTTCTTTTTTTGAAAATCAGAGAAGAGGGCTAAAATCACAGCAGCACATATTAAAATGCAGACACACTGTGTGCCTCTGGCTAATGGCGCCAGCGTGTCTCTTCCAATCACTCTGCTTTTTATTCAGCTTCTTTAAACTTATGTGGACTTTTTTTTAAAACTCATGTATCCAAAGTTTGTCTGTTTGATTGTAAAACTTTTTTTTCGTTTATATGGGTCTTGCCGAGGCTTTTGCACCCGTCTTACATTTAGCATATCAGGACTGTCAGATATTATTGACCAAAAATTTAATGAATCCATGAGAATGAATATCCTGCAAACACACGTGTAAAATATGGGGGACTTTTAAAGGCTTTTCCACATAAGAAGAGTGTACTCTAAAATTCCAACAGACCCCTCAGCACTCATTACTTTTCTTAGATTTCCCGGGATCTGGCGGTACAATTGCCAATCTTCCAGTTACTGGTCCTCTTTTATTACCCTCAAACACCCTACGCCCCGTTTGACCTGGAAAGTTTTCCTGCTTTGTGCAATTGCATCACTTTAGTTTAAATACCAAAAACACTGATTCATTTCACAAGTCAGAGAGCAAAACAACTGCAGACCTTCTCTGGCTTTCCTCAACAGATCAACCCCAGAGGTAAGCAGTGAAAGCGATAGAGTGAGAGATGAATGTAGCAAGGCAGATGAGAGCGTTCTCAAAGCCAAAGTGAGGAAGTGTTAGGATCTGTGTAGTTTCTGTCTGTCTAGTCCTGTTTTCCCCTGAGTCTGTCTTGATTGATCCCAGCTGTGTGTCGTTCCTGTGATTACCCTCCCAGTGTATTTAGTCCCACCTGTTGTCAGTGTTCTTTGTCGGATCGTCGTCGTGTCTCACGTCTGTGTCTGTTCCTGTGCTGCCAGAGATTTTCTGTTGTTCCTCCTGGTTTTTTCATTAAATTATATTTCATCATGACTACCTGGGATTCCCGGCGTCTCTCTCACCGCTCTCAACCACACATCATGACAGGAAGTGGCTCGGAAGGAAATGAAAAAGTGGCAGCTGGAACAAAAGCAGAGTTCAGGAGCTACTTTCAGAACTTGTAAACTTCTTGAAAAACTTTCAGCATTTGATTCTTTTCCCCCATAGTTCAGATTGGCACTCCTCTTCTACTTTTTCATATTGCATCCCAGAAGGTTAGCCTGCTTTCATTTCTCCATCTGCACACACAGACACATGTGCACATGCATCCTCTTCTCTCTCCAGTTTCACTCGAATGCCCAGTTTAAATCAAATGTACTAAACTTGTAAAATAGGAAAAGATTTATATGAATTTGCTTTTCTTTTTCTCTTCATGTGCATTTTGTCAACTACAAGGTAAGTTTGTGTAATTAAATTAAACATATATTGTAGTTTATTTTATAATTGAACATCTGATTGAATGGGGCTGATGTGTTGCAGTAGCTCTATTCAGGAAATGTCATTCAAACGGTTTGCTGGGAGGAATTTATTTTCCCTTTTGTGGTTTGAAACCCAAATTATTAATAATTTTTGGGATTAACACCTTGTTATGAATTGAGTTTATGACTACAGGAGGCTGTCATAACCCTCTAAATATATGATGAGTTGAAGTGTACAGTATATACATCATAGATGTACAATTGAAGCTCCACAAATAACTAAATAATTTCTTGATTCATTGGGTGAATTTTCCTGGCAGTAAAATGAGTTTCTTTGCCGCATTAAAATTTTTTATTTTTGTTTAATATCACGAATTAATTGTTGCCATTTTTCAGACTTGATGTGTACTTTTTCTGAAACTGTTTTGTGAAATAAAAAAGGTTCTGTGTTGTGGCTCCCACATGCTGGCCAGAGGCAAGCAGATCATTATGAAGGTGAATCTAATGAATTTCAGAGTCAAAACAGAAAAAGCAAAAAAAAAAAAAAAGGTTGTGCATAAAAACTGGAAACAATGCATAAAACCTTAGGAGTAAAACAGTTGCTGGATGGGAAGGATTTAGCTCCTTGCTAAATCCTGGTAAGGATCATTACTGGATGTAAATCGTGAGTCTGATTAACTGGCTGTAGGAAAAACAGGGAGGTTGAGAGAAAAAAAAAAGATCTCGGCTGAGAAATGGTTTTCAATTAATGCAAAAGCGAACACATGGATAAGTGAAACAGTGACTAATAAAACATGCACTAAAGCAACCTGCAATGCAAAACAAGAATTCATGGAAATGCTAAAAAGCATTTGATAAGCAAACTCACAACAAAAATGACTAAGTGAACTCAAAATCCCTCATGGCAACATAAATAACTAATTCTAAATTTTACCAGGACAATTATAAAAACCAGTATCATTTTAATTAATATCGCATAAAGCTATTTCATAATGCTAAAGGAGAAAAACTGAATTGCATTGCATGCTGTCTCTACTTTAGTATATTGTCAACAAACCTTTTTCAGTCTGACATCATCGTATTGCCCACGTTTTTTTTTTTTCCAGCTGAATCAAAGCGAAGCTTCAGGATCAGATAATGCCAGCCGTGGGCTCTTGAGTGCCACAGATGGCTCGACTTTTCTTCAAGGCCTCTTAAAGGTCAACCTGGATTAGAAGGATCGACTGCTGTGAAAGACTTCTTTTCTCATTCAAGTAACTTCCCCCGTCTGGCTCGAGTGACTACAACACATTTGCTCCAGCATTCTACATTAAGAAGGTCCTGGATGTACAGTAATAGACTCTCCCAAGTAGGCAAATAAAACATTTTAGAACCCACTGTAATCAAAGTAGGCAGGACTGCTGGGATCATTTTATGTTTTCAGCACTTTATTCAACAAAATTTGTGAATAAAAAAGTGAATGCCCCAGCAATCCTCAGAAAACTGACTGCCTCAAACTATGTTTAGCAGATTGCTCTGGAGCACAGGTACACAGTAAGGGGACTACAACTCCACTGTTTTTTTCTTAACCTGTCCACACCTGTACAAGCTGCACTAAATAGGCATCAGCTACACCATTCCAGCTATAATTTAAAGCGATATATTTTAAGTCACGTTCATTTGCATAGCACATCTTAGGAACAACACAGTTCAAAGTGTTTTACCTAATAAAGAACATGACACAATAAACAGACAAAAAAAGCATTACATTTCAGTGGAAAAATCAAGAGTTAATAGCAAGATTGTTCTCCAGACTAGAATTAATCCATTTTCCAGTTATTATTAATCAAAGGCAATTCTGAACAAATTAGTTTGAAGCAGAGGTCTTCAAATCCATGCCTCGAGGGCCGGTGTTATTAATCTTTTAGATCTGTCTCTGCTTCAACACCTAAATAAAATAATGGGGTCATTAGCAGGACTCTGGAGAACTTGATTGGATACTGAGGAAATTCAGTCTGTTAGATATTTTTTGGTATTATCATTTTGTTATTACTTTAGTTCATATTCAGTCTAATGTTAATCAGTATTATTGTGATTTTTAGTTTAAAGTGTTCTCTTCCTTATGTGTGTATAAACTGACCTGGAGGTTACGACTGTCTGTTTATCTTTATGTGAGACAGTTAACTCTGTGTTTCCCAGATTTTAAATTCTTCCTGTGTTAGTTTGACCTAGAGTTGAACTGGGCTCAGACCGTAGATCAGATATCACACCTGGAACTGAGTTGCTGGTTTGTTTAGGTTAAATGTTTTACGACCTCTGTTGTTTTCCTGACTGCCCCCTGTGACTGTGTTTCTTTTGACAATAAAAGAAGGAGCTCGTGTGGAAGGATTCAGAACTTTCTGTGAACGGCTGATGGAGAGTTTTCCTTTTGCAAAAGCTTTGTCTATAAAATTCATATACGTTGTCTGTGGTCTTTTTATATAGGTTCGAGAAAAAGTACCTATCACAGTCATTTGATTCAAGTGTGTTGGACATGGGACACATCTAAAAGTTGCAGGAAAAAACCTGGATTTGAGGACCCATAATAGAAAGGAAATAAGCGTTTCAGCAGTTTTGCAGTTTTCTGGAAGTTTGCACCAGATCAGTGGAGCATAAAAACGTAATGGTTCTGGGGATGCAGAGCAGACTTGAAACAAAGACCAAAATGTCTGAGAAGTTGATAGAACAGCAACAGATCTTTAATTCAAACATTCAGTTATTTATAACCTGACAAAAGTATTTCAAAGTCTATTCCCTGAGCTATAGGGAGACGGTGTGAGGACTTTGGATCTGAGATGATGTACTCTATCTTCCTGGTCTTAGTGTGAACATGAGCAACTATGTTCTGGATCAACTGCACTTGTCTGATTCACTTTTTAAGCAGACCTGTGGAAAAAAATGTTGCACTAATGCAGTTTGGCTAAAAACAAAGTGCATGGATGAGTTTCTCAAGAGCTTGCTGGGACATTAGTCCTTCAATCCTACCTAAAAAATGTTTTCAGACAATCGAAGGCCAACTTTGTACTTGTCTTTGTTGTTGAAGGTTAAGGCCTAAGTCCACCAATAGATCCAGATAGTAGTGATGGAGGTATTGCTGAATGTTCAATGTAAATATGTTGGACAGCTTCTCGACTTTTTTCACCTCAAGGTGAGCACAATAACTTCATCTACAGCTGAACTACAGCATTGTCTTGTCATTTTTGGCCAAGTCATAATAAAGCCCATAAACTTAACATGATTCTCTAAGCTCCTGAAAACAGATGACCTTGGATGGCAATGCAATAATCTGTGTGCTGACTCTTAATCATTCCTCTTTGGGTCCAAAAAGAATTACCTTAATTTTATTTCTGTTCACCTGAAAAAAGTGATGATGGTACATCCAAGCACTGATTTTGATTTTTTTCTATGCATCTACTCTACTTGTTTACCTCCCTTTTGTAAAGATCTATTTCATAACATCAACAATAACCCTATTTAAATTCAAAAGAAGGGCGTAAGCATGGCAAAAAGTTATTTTACAGTTTTATCTCAGTCATTAGTTTCTACCTCTTGAAGGTAAATAAAAACAGAGTCTGAACGAAGCAGGGCAGATTAAAATAGCTTGTAAAAATGGCTCCTTTGTTATTTTTCAAACAGGGATTTGACTGCAGGCCAAGATGATTTAGAGGAAAGTGTTAAAAACATTAGAGGGAGTTAACACCTTTAGATATTTGGGCGGTCGGTTTAAGTGCGTTTTCTAGAGGTGAAAGGTCAGCCTTCCAAGAGCTTTTCATGGACGTTTAGTTCCTTCAGGATGTGCAGCAAAATGTTTTATGTCTTTTATGTGTCTGATATTGATGGAGTGTGTTTTCTTTTTTGAAATACAAAATCCTTATCTCTTCTTGAGTGTATCGAAGATCCAAGATCATCTGTTTTCAGCAGCTTGCTTTTATCACAGACCCACTTCTGGTCCAAAAAAAAAAAAAAAAAAATGGTTTTAGTGATACATTCCTCTCAGCTCAAGAAATCTGTTTTGGATTTCATAGTAACATAAATCAATCTTACATCCTTATCTTTTGTGGTTACACTTCTTTTTTGCTCACACAATGTCCTTTATTATATATTTTTCCAGATTTCTTTCCTCACAAATCCACCCAGCCTGACTAAAATAAAAGCAATAGTCCATTAGTTGGCTTTGGCACCATGTTTCTTCAGGGCTGCATTTGAGCAATGGTGTTTCCACATGGAAGCTGCGCAAAGTCATGCATTAATGCTGCCAAGTGAAAACAGTGGTGGCATCGTGGCCACCAGTGACAAAAGTCAATTTAAAGTTCTGTTTGGACTCTCTCCCATGCTCAGGAAGTCTGTGCGCATATGTCTGTGAGTGTGTGTGCTCGCACAAACATGTGTGCATCTGTTTGTTTGGTGTCTTGAGCTGCAGCAGGAACATTTGCTTTATTTGGGACCAAGCCTTCTCATTTATATTCAGAGTCTCTGCAAGGTTCTGCTTGACTTCTCGCACACAGACACTATCTGGCGCACACATACACATCAGGGTACATGTACACAGGGGTACTGTGCACCTACTTTAGTCACAACCCAGCTTTTACGCCTTTCCTCAGATCCCTTAATCCTCCGTGGCTGAATAACTTTGAAGCAAACAGGCACCAGCTCATCTGAACTTTGACTGATGGCCAAAATGTTCCGCAAATGGAATGGCAAGAACAGAAATCCAAATACTTCGACAACAATTATCTCCGTTTGTAAGCAGTGAATGTGACCTTGGAGAGTATTTGGGCATGTATGAAAAGAGTTGAACAAAGTTTATAGCATTCCCAGATCGAGGTCCATGAAATCTAATAAATTACCCCGGGTAATCTTTCCTGAGATGGTGTCGGCTTACATCTGTTGGCCTCCAGGCTGTAGAAACTACACATGGCACAGCGAACTCTTATCTCAGGCTAAACTCTTACTGGTTGATTTGCAATTGTGGGTAATGAACAAATCCAGGAGCCAAATGAATAAACAATGTATGCATTCAAAAGCCTCAAAGATGTATTTTTGCATGCAAACTGTTATTCATGAGGAAAGGTTTATGAGTTTAAAATGTGCACACTTTAGAAATCCTTTAGAGAGTGCCTGCATGCATGCATTCCAGTGAAAATTTGAACTTTATCTGGTAACATAGAAATGCGACCAAATTAAAATGAAGCTAAAATCAGTGGGGCAGTTTGACAGTGATTGCTGTTCACACTACTACCTACCTGGAGTCTATTTCAATATGCTTTACAGACCATATGGCTTGTAGCAAAAAATGTTTTGCCATTGCCCTTTTCTTTGATGCTATAGCATTCGGTGTCAAGCTAAGGTTAGATGGCCAGAGCTCTAAATTTTACCTCTAAAAATTCACCAGCCTGAATGTTGTCGCTTAGAGACATTACATTTACAGCAGATACGCAGCTTCAAAACAAACTGTGCATCAGCTGCAACTTCCTCTAAAAATTAACATGCAGACATACTTGTCAATCCAATTGCACTAGTCCCACCTGAATGACATAAATAGTTCAGCCAGTCTTGCAAAGACTGGTTGACATTCTTTCAGGTGTGTTGGAGTATTGATGCATGCATCCAAAAGTTGCAGGACGGTGGCACTCAAAGACATCTTTCCATTTAACAACAGATGACAGAAGTACAAGAAGATACCATTATCGGGCAGTTAGGAGGAGGGCAGTTATTTAGTTAGTTACAGCAAAGTAGAATCAGCTCAGTCACTCTACCGGCAAATCACAACGCTGATGAGGCGATGGAAACACAGCACAGCATTTGCTCTTTATACAACTGGTGAAAATAGAAAAACTAATCAGATAGAAAAATTCTGACAGAAAGATAAAGATTTGCCACTTTTGATGGCATCCATCTAAATAAACAAGAAGCAGAATTAGGGTTATTTTTCTTCAGGCACTTTCCGAAGGCTTCCCATTTTATGAAATCTTCCAGTGGAAATCCACACTTCATTATTCAGCTGTGTATCTTATAGTCAATATACATAAAACAAATACAAATCCTTGTTCAGTGGAGTTTCTTCACAAAGTCATGATTACAACCATCCACAGAAAGTTAGCTTGGGCTTCATAATATCATGTTAATGATAACGGGAACGATTCAACTAGCCCAATAATCCAAGATCCACATACATTGTTTTTTCCCTGCCGGTTTTGCATAAACATGATTTCAAACATAAAACTGCTCACAGTTTTATGCAGATGTCCCCAGGTTATGAGGGGAAGAAGCTACTGAATAAAAAAAGTCTATATCCTGGCCCGTAAGACTTCAGCTTTGAGCTCCAACAGGATTTGCATATTTGTTGGACTGTGTAAATGATCCCTCTGCACT